CAATGTACATCATCAATACACATAATAAAAACAAGAAGCAATAGATATTGATATAAACCAAATGCTGCCTCACTTGCAAGGAGTAAATCTGCAGGTGGCCGCGCTGGTGCCGGTGCTGGTGCCGGAGTTTGCTCTCAAGAAACTAAGGGCAGTGTGCAGAACTTGCCTAGTAGACCCCATTAATGCCCAATTCATATGTTGGATTACATCTAAAGGGTGGTATGGGAACTGTATACTACTGTAGGAATTAAGAAGAGCAGTTGTCCCTTCCCTTAAAAGAGTCAAATATGGATCACCTCTCCCATTCATGCCTTCCCACAGGGTCATGTCTGTTCCGTATCTCCGGCTGGCGATCAGCCCAAAAATAACAGCTACTTTCGTGTCTGGGGAAACCACCTTCCAGTAGCACTTGTATTCCGGCATCATCCACTTCCTGAAGAATTAGTGTCAACAAGTGTTATGAATTAAGCCACGATCTCTACTTACGCAAGTAATATAATCTTTAGACCATCAACTTACTGGTGCGGGCAAGCTGAAGCTTCCAAGGAAGGCACCGGAGGCATTGGAGGCAACGGGGGTAACGGTGGCAAAGGTGGAATCCGAGGCACTGGAGGAAGAAGCCTTACCGGAGGAGCCGGGGCAACCACTGGGCTAGTCGAGCTTGAGCAGAAGGGCATAGGCTGTGCTGGCTGAGAAAGCAAAGGATCTACTGCGTACATTTCCATATCAAACATCCTAAACATTAGTCTTGGATACATGGCTGGGCCAACTGCTGCCCCACACCCTGATGATCCTTGTGCATTGCCTGAAACTTGGGCATAACAACCACTCAAATCCGGGATGCCCTCAAACTTTATAGCGTAACTGCCAAGCCAATTTGTTGTTTCTTCTCTCCACATTGTGACTTGCCCATCACTCCCTGGACATGCAATTCCCACTTTTATTCCTGCATATATATATAATTTTCAGTCATTAGTTTCCTCCGTGCGACCATAACCACAATCCTTGTTGTGAATAATTATGGAATCGGCTACATAAATCTTTGTTCGTCACTCCATTCTCCCAATTTTGTCGGACCTACTCGAAGATCTAAGTAGCATGTTTGGCTAAGCTTAAAAAAGTTAGGTTGACTAATTTTGTGGTTTTAAACATGTTTGGAGAAGCTCCTTTTTTTTCTTGCTTATACGTAGTATGGTTACTTATTTTAAAGGTAATTACTACATTTATGTTTAAATAAGTAACTTTCTTACTTTCAATGCCGATGGTATAATTACTTATTTTGAACTTATTCACTTATAAGTAAACTTTTTAAAGCTTAGCAAGACATGCTCTATATCTAGGGATAGCAATGGGGCAAGGACGGAATGGGAATAGAGCAGGGCAGATTATAAAATAAAAAGACTTGGAGCTGGTTCTGAAATTTGGGGGAAGGACCACGTTCTAATCTGCACCACGTTTACATGGAGATACGTGGGATGGGACAAGGCGGGGAATTTTGCCATCCCTATCTAGATCCTCGGCCATTGCAACTAGTCATGTTAGTTTTACCTACTCATTCCTCTTCTACAAGGTTGTACTAAGATCTCCTTTACTTTATCTGCAACTTTTGGATAAATTAGAAGTCCTTAAGATTAAAAAATGAATCAAAAGAATGGCCTAAAAATACATGTAGCCCTTGTTTGGGCCCCATTATTGTCAAAATTCATTTTCTTAACACTCAGTTTCAACCACACATTCTCTTATAAAATAATTGTACAAGCAAATCCAAAAAATTTCCTATTTTTCAACCACACATTCTCTAATTTTTTACTATTTCAAAATGCATTTTCTTGATAAATCTGGTCAGATGAAATAAGAGATCTGTCTGATATGGCCTTTATTTGCTCACTTTACCAGCCATAGAGTGAAGATTTAGAATGCCCTATCCCAAATTAGGTAGATGTTAGAAACTTCAAGTGCTTCTCAATAAATTCGCAATTGGATGGGTTCCTTTTCATTCATTCTGATTCTGTTCACTTCTAGCCATCTAAAACTACAACCGACTTTGTCAATGTATCTATCCATCACTATCTTGACTTATTCTACTGAGATTGTGTTACTCTTATATATTCAAAAAAGAGTTCCGTAAAAGAATATGAAAATGCAACGGATTTATAGATTTTACCGTATAGGGGATAATCAAAAAGGGAGATTTGCCCATCTTTGCATTGGTCACAGAAAACAGTGCCAGTAACCAATCCATATCCATGAACTCCATAAATGGCTGCCGCAGCTATCAGAAAAACTGTAAAGAAAATCTCTTGGAACCATTCCATGAATTCTGAAAAGCTAAAGAACAGAAAAATCAGGGAAAAGAATGAATTTTTGGGCTGTAAGAATGTGAGTAAAACATTAATTATAAGTAGAAAAAGTTCTTACGATCAGTTCTGCACTGCAACTCTCAACTACCTCCATTAGTTGGAAAGGAAAAAAGTGATTTTGAAATAAATAATGCGAAATGCATTTAAGACTGTCGACTGATGCAACTTTCAGGATCCAGCTTCTGTGGTTAAACTTAAAGTGTAGTTAATGCAATTTCCAGTTCTTATCAACAACTTGTTTAGCTTGTTATCCTATTGATTACAAAAAATTAATGGCACCTTTATCATTAAAATGGTTTTGTTTGGGTTAATTATTCGCTTCAGGTTCCTCATTTTGAATCAGCCGGACCACTTTTTAGCCGTGTATGTGCGATTTTGATCTCACACGGCTCCTATGTTATAAACGAAAGAATAAAGATTAAAAATTAATTCATATTCATTCGTAATACTTCATAATGTCATTGCCATCGAACAAGGGAAAGAATATGAGCTTAATGTATCTGCAGGCCTCGGGTAGATAGGCTCATTTTTCAAGTTAACTGAAGTCGAAGGCTAATCCTTTGGAAAAAGGTTATCGAAAAAGCTACCCCTGCTTGCCTTTAGCTCATGGCAATTGAGATTTCCGTGAAGTGGCTAATTTGGGTCGAGTTAACATACTTCAATGAAGAAGAATGCATCATTAGTACAAGAATAATGTTATTCAACACCACCGGTGCCACAATATTAATTTAAGTGATCATGTGTGATATGTTTAATGAAAGATAGAATTAAGTGATTCGTTGAAGACCATTTTAGTGTCATTTGGACTAGATAATGACGCTAAATAGCATTGCTCGACTTGCACCCTAACTAATGCGGAAGTTGCAAATATAAGTAGCTCGACCAAGTTGACTCGACTCAAACCAAATTCGTCACTCTAATATTACACGTCCACTTCAATTTTCATTGAAATTATCAACCATGTCAGATTTCTTGCTGGTGTAAATTAAGGTCTAAATAGAATGAATGACCAACTCCAAGCAACTAATTTAACCCGAAATGAAATTGAACCAAATAAAATTCGTTTCTTTTACCTTGCATTACAGACAGGTTTACCTCCGAGTTGACCTACCCGATTGAATTAGTACAAGGGAAAAGAAGCTAAAGTCATGTTTAATGTGTATTGGGAATTGCTTAACGAAAGTTGGTGAAACAACTACGAGAGAATTGATGAAATTCAAGAACAAAAGAAAACCAATGGATGGCCTTCATCACATAAAAACGCGAATGAGGACTTCAATAAAGATTATTTCAAGCAACGGAATAGACGAGGTGGATTAAAATATTACCAATGCCCCATCCTATTTCCTTATTTAGCGCCGGTCTGGGCTCACTAGTTTGGAAAAAAAATCGGTTTCAAAGACGAATCTAATCTACCCCTTTTGTTACTGGCCCTGAATAATGACAGAAAATGAATTGAGGGCAAAATTGGCAATTGTTAATAATCCGTACAGTAAATTGTCCCCAACATGGTCAGACATTATGGAATAAACAAATTATATTCACCTCTCAAATGGTCGTTTTTTTGGCTTAAAATTCGAAAATAATCCCGGACAAGGGCTTACTTAGTTATTTTTTCATTTTATATCATTTTTTAAAATAATTAAAATCTGAAAAAAAAATAATAATAATCAGGGTGAGGTGGTAGCCATGATTCCCTTATCTAATGAATTCTAGCCTATTTTGTCATCCTAATAGTCATTTGAATGAAGAATAAATCTATCCAATACAATCTGATAATTGAAGCCTAAAAGAAACCAAAGGTGACAAGGAATGGCAATATGTCCACCCCCATCCCATCAGGGAATCGTGGTGAGGACAAGAACATGGTCATCACTCCAAATCTTGTTTTGTATTTTATTTTTGGATAATTAGCAGAAAACATTCATACATTTCAAGTTCTTAGTGGAAAACGTCACTACCTTTCATTTTTTGACACTTTTGCCCTTATTTCCACCATTCTTTGCGGAAAACGTCCTTCCGTCCACAATCCGTCAGTTTCTCCGTTAATGCAATACAAAAATGATGTTTTCTTTTTAAATCAATAAGGGTAAAATAGTCATAATTCATTCAACCCCTTCATCTCCTCTTACACGCGAACGTTCCCTTACAGTTTTCTTCTTCAAAGATTTCCATCTTTCTTCCACTTCTACAACCGTTCCCCATTTTTCCTATCATATGCTCTCATTACATCTCGTGGGTACAGAGTGGAAGGACGCATTGAGAGTTTCTCTAGCGAGCGAGGTAAGAAACATTACTATTGGGTATTTTCATTTTTCGTTTTGTATTTTGATTTTTGGCATGATTGAGAGTCTATGTAGAGTTTTGATACTATCTATTGGTGCGCAGTCCTTCGAGGAGCAGGCATGTTTCTTCCGTTTTTGAGAAACCCTG